CTTTCTTCTTTATCTTCAAAAATATCCACAAGGACAAGTTCAGTCAGAGACTTTCCCAGAATGCTGACAGCACATGCCATACCAACTTGTCTAGTTCCCACTACAATGATCTTATTGTTTGGGATGGTTGCCTCTTCTTCTGTAACTGGTGCAATCAGTTTTTCTTTAAGAGTTGCCATTGTGCCATTGTGCCCAGAGAGAATCAGCTGGGAGAGCCATGCAAAGACCATATTTTACATCTTTTTATTTTGTGTACCCTGTAACTAATTATTACAGCTATAATTAATTTTAGTATTTTTGTCTTTTACCCTTCATATTAGCTTTATAAATTATTAATCCATTATCTTTATGATATATTTACACTTATTGAGATTTTTACTTTCAGATGTTTGCTTGTTATTAGTTATTCCCTTTTCTTTTTATCTTAAAGAAGTCTCTTTAACATTTTTTTAAGGCCACTTAGTGGTAATGAATTCCTTTGCATTTTGCTTATCTGAAAAACTCTATTTCTCTTTCAATTCCAAATAATAACCTTGCTGGATAAAATATTTTTGTATGGAAGTTTTGCTTTGTTTTGTTTTGTTTTGTTTTTACTTTCAGCCCTCTGAACATGTCATCCCACTCCCATGTGGCCTATAAACTTTCTGTTGATAAATCTGCTGATAGCCTTAAGGTTCCCCTATATGTAAGAATTTGTTTTTCTCTTGTTGCTATTAATATTCCCTCTTCACCTTTAACTGTTGACATTTTAATTCTAATGTATCTTGGTTTGGATCTCTTTTTATTTATTTTATGTGGAACTCTCTGTGCTTCCTAGAATAGGATGTCTAATCTGCCCCCTTTTATTTTTCCTAGATTATGGAAGTTTTCAACCATACTTTATTTTTTTTAAGTTTTTATTGAAATTCCAGATATTTAACATACAGTGTAATTAATTTCAGGTGTAAAATCTAGCTATACATCACTTACATATGATACCCAGTGATCATCGCAAATGCCATCCTTAATACTTCACCATCCCACTACCCACCTCCCCTCCAGTAACCGTCAGTTTATTCTCTATAGTTGAGAGTCTGTTTTCTTGTTTGCCTCCCTTTTTTGCCTCCATAGTCATCTGTTTTGTTTCTTAATTTCCACATATGAGTGAAATCATATGGCACTTGTCTTTCTTTGTCTGACTTCTTTTACTTAGCATAATACTCTCTAGCTCTATCCATATCGTTGCAAATGGCAAAATTTCACTCTTTCTATGGCTGAAGTTATATTTCATGTATGTATATGCCGCATCAGATGAAATTTATTCATCAGTCAAAGGGCATTTGGGCTCTTTTCATAATTTGGCTATTGTTGATAATGTTGCTAAAAGCAACAAGATGCATGTATCCCTTCAAATCAATATTTAATATCCTTTGTGTAAATACCTAGAAGTGCAAATGCTGGATTGTAGAGTAGCTCTAGTTTTAACTTTTTGAGGAACCTCCATACTGTTTTCCAGAGTGGCTGCTACAGTTTGCATTCTCACCAACAGTGTAAGAGGGTTCCCTTTTCTCCACATCCTTGCCAACACCTGCTGTTTCTTGTATTATTGATTTTAGCCATTTTGACAGGTGTGAGGTGATATCTCATTGTAGTTTTGATTTGTGTTTCCCTGATGATCAGTGATGTTGAGCATCTTTTCATGTGTCTGTTAGCCATCTGTCTGTCTTCTTTGGAAAAATGTCTGTTCATGTTTAATGCCTATTTCTTATCTGGATTATTTGTGGGTTTTTTTTGTTTTTTGTTTGTTTTTTTTTTTTTATACCAATCCTTTGTTGGATATATCATTTACAAATATCTTCTCCCATTCAGAATGTTGCCTTTTAGTTTTGTTAATTATTTCCTTCACTGTGCGAAGCTTTTATTTTAATGAAGTCCAATAGTTTATTTTTGCTTTTATTTCCCTTGCCTCTGGAAACATATCTCAAAAGAAGTTGCTATGGTCAATGTCAAAGAGGTTACTCCCTGTGTTCTCTAGGATTTTGGTGGTTTCCTGTCTCATGTTTAGGTCTTTCATCTGTTTTCCATTTATTTTTGTGTATGATATAAGAAAGTGATCGTTCTTTTGCCTTTTGCTGTCCAGTTTTCCCAACACCAGTTGTTGAAGAGACTGTGTTTTTCCCATTGGATATTCTTTCCTGCTTTGTCAAAGTTTGTTTATCAAATAGTTGTGGGTCCATTTCTGGGTTTTATACTCTGTTCCATTGATATATGTGTCTGTTTTTGTGTTAGCACCATACTGTCTTGATCAGTCATTATTTCTTTAAATAAATTATCTACCACCCTTCTCTCTTCCTTCTCCATCTGGGATTCCTATAATGCATGTTATTCTGTGTGATATTATCCAACAGGTTCCTTAATCTCCCTTCACTTTTGTTGTTATTATTTTGTTGCTTTTTTTGTTTGTTTGTTTGCTCCATTGATTGGATGATTTCCACTGTCTTGTCTTCCATGTTGCTGATCCATTCTTCTACTTAGTCTAGTTTGCCTCTGAACCCTTCCATTGTGTTTTTCATTTCAGCTATTACAATATATTGTATTATAGTCTTTGGACTTCTTTTTGGTACTTTCTTGTGTTTTCTTCCCCTTTGTTGAAGTTCTAACTGTGTTCATCCATTCTTTTCCAGAGTTAGGTGAATATCTTTATGAAAATTGAACTCTTACCTGGTAGATTATTTACCTCTGCATTATTAAGGTTTTCTTCTGAGGCTTTGTCTTATTCTTTCATTTGGAACTTATTCCTATGTCTCTTTATTCTGCTTCACTCTGTTTTTGTTTTTATGCATTAGGTGAAACAGCTACCTCTCTGTCTTGAAGCAGTGGACTTGTGTAGCAGATAAGCCTTATCTTTCAAACTTTTTTTTTAGCTTGTGTTTGTTTCTCCCACCTATGCCTAAGTAGCCCGATTTATTCTTCATAGGTTCCAGCTGTTGCAGGTGTGCCAAAATCTGTCAGTTTTCCAAAAGGATGGATTTTAGACAGTGTATAGTTTTAGTCTTATTGCAAGATAGATCCTCAGACAACAGCCTTTAAGGTGTATAAATATAGTCTTAATCATAAACCATGGTTCATAATCATAAAACATGCTGACTTTCAAACCTGAGAGATCTGGACAACAGTTTTAAAAATTATGCCTTTAGACATATGTATAATCCCTTTTCGGGAGATATCAACAAAGACAAAAGAGGGCACTAACATAGTGATTCTTTACTTAGGTTCCCAGGGGGCCTCTGACCTCTAAATGTCCTCAGGCTTAAGTTCCAGAACAAGAAAATAGGCATTTTCACACAAATACTGGGAAAGTGTTTCAGTCTACTGTTTATGCAGTGCCCTGGGGATTGTAGCCTGCCAAGGTCTGTTTCTCCAAATGTTTCAGACCATGAGGCCCAGAAATGTAATCCCGCCTGACCAAGAGAGCTAGATGCTCAAGAAGTGTCCCCTGTGAACACAGTACATCTCTCCCAGCTTTGGTAGGACACGCAGTGGCTATGGTGCATGAGGGTGGGGTGCTTGGCTGGCCAGTTAGAGCTGGACAGGTTGTGGCTAAGGTGTTCAAGGTCAGGGTATTCAGGCTGGAGCTGCCAGTGAGGGTTGAGGAGGATTTTCTCTGAAGCCATGTCTCTCCCTCTCCTACCTGTTTCAGTGTGGCCCTTTTATTCTTTGCTGTGGAGGTGCTATTTAGCTAGCTTTCAGGTCCTTTTCATATGGTATTAATTCTATATATATGGCTGTAGATTTGTTGTGTCTATGGAAGAAGGTGAGTTCAGGATCCTTTTATGCCATCATCTTAAAATCTCTTCTTTATTGATTTTCTTATAAAAATGTTTCTGAGTCTTTCATTTCCTTTGATTGATTGATTGATTTATTTATTTATTTTTAAGCAAATGCAAATACATTGATTATTATTTTACCTAAATACTAGCAAAAACCACATTGAGTATCAAGTACAGTTAATTTTTCATATCCTCTACAATTTCATTATAACCCATTTATTTTTGGTTTTGTGCTTTAAAATTCTACAGAACAGGCATTAACTACTTTGAACAATACGTTCCCTTGTTAGTAAGATGAAATAGGTTGAAAACTAAAATATTGCCAGTGGGATCAGAAGTTGTAACACTTTTCTGCCTTTAATTTAGTATCCTTATTCTACTAGACAGGTTCTATAAAAATAAGATTTAAGAGAATAGTTATTAATCGCTGAGATTAAAATCTTATCCAAAAGGCATAATGACAGAACATGAAACACAAAAGAATAAGAGAATGACATTGAGCTGTAAAATTTAATATTCCACTCTAAATTTGAATATATTATAACTTACTTATACAATATAGTTTAACAGGTCTGCGTAAGTAGAGGAAACTTTAGCCAGTTAGTAGAGAGAAAAAAAAAAAAAAGAAAGCGTAGATGTCTTAATCATGAAGGTGTTAAACATTTCTTCACTTAGGCCTCTGATTTGATACAGAGAATATAACCTGAAGGAAGGATATGTATGTAACAAGAGCAGTTTCCTGAAGAAACACTTAAGAGTGGTGTGCTGAGGCACAAAGGTAGTCTATATGGTGGGTTAGGAAAGTAACAATGTCCATTGATACACTCAATTCCTGGATTATGGTTTAGTTGAACTTATTATAAACTAAATTTAATAATTACTCCTTTTTTTTTCCCTCAGAAAAAATCCTTAACAAAATCTTTCCTTCTAAGGAAATAGGATGCATATATTTAGACTTAGAGAAATTTGAGTGAGTTAACTTAGTTGTTATCGTTGAGGAGGAAAATGTTTTTATTAATGCAATTGCTATGTGTGGTTATCTATTATTGTCATATTAATCATCCCAGTAATGGGTGCTATATAGGGAACTTCACTTTGAATCATTACATGAATAACCTCTGTCAACCTCAAAGGTTCCCTAATACATTTCTTTTTCTTTTTCACTGTTAATATTTCACTGTGTTATTACAGCTCCCAATCCCTGTGCAGCTAATGATGGCAAAGGACCCTGCTCTCATATGTGTCTGATCAATCATAATAGGAGTGCTGCTTGTGCATGCCCCCACTTGATGAAACTTTCCTCAGACAAGAAGACCTGCTATGGTAAGTTTCTTGAAGTTCTTATCTAAATTTCAAATTGAATTCTCTCAAATGATATTAGCATTAAGATTTTCCTCAAAGTAAAGCAGAAGAGATTTTTAATGTCCTTAAAAACATTTGAGGTAGTGCTACTTCCAGACTGTATTGATGATTCATCTACTTTTGGGAAGACAGACAAATTCTTTAAATATGTGATATGCTGCACTTTACTATTTATTAATTTATTCATTTTTTTCTTGCTGCTTTCTTATTTGGTGTGTTGGCAGAATTTATCTCTACAAAGCAGGGAGATTTGTAAGTGAAAGGGCATTTTCAGAAAGTGATGATGTAGGTAACCTATGTAACAAAGAGGTACTTAACAGCTTTAATCTCCTCCTGCTCTTCTAAAGTTACTTTCACATCATTTTATAGGGGATTATCAATTTAAAGGGAGGAAGAATGAGGTAAAATATATGACTTTGAAATATTTCTTAAAAATATTTAAACAGCACATTTAAACTAAAAAAAAATGATAATGAAATTTGTGAATGAAATCAGACTGTAGGTTTTTTTTCTGTTTTGGTCTCTTTTAATTTTAAGTAATTTTTGTTTATTTGTGGAGCAATTACTTTCATGGGCAGAGAAGAATGTGCTCATAAAATCTTAACTCAGGAATGTAGGTGCATGCTGATTTAATTAATTATATATAATCTTAACATATCACAACAAAAGTATTTCCAAAGAGAACAATGAAATAATAGATTATTTGTGACATCTATTTCTATTTAATCTCCTATTTTATAAACTCAGTTCCAAAAGGTGCTTATGGGAAGTAAAAATAATGCAATGCCTCACAATGTTACTTACTACAGATTTTTAAAAATGTGTAATAAAACATACCTTAACATTATTTGAAGCCCAATTTTGACAAGGAAAACATGAACATGACTTTTAAATCCATGCTTAATTTTATTGAGATAGTATAAAAAATGTTCTTAGATGCCTTCAAAAATCGTTTAATTTTGTTCTGATTAGGTAGGTACAAAGAACAAATACCGTTGTTTGACATTTGCAGAGTTCATGTGTTTTAAGAATTGTTTAAAATTATAAGATCAAATCACTGAGAATTTCTTGGTATTTCTAACTAAAGAAAAATAATGACTTAAGAATTCTAACTTGTTTTTCATTTGTTTCTTAAGAATTTTAATTTAAATAATAGATAACTCATTTATGCCTATCAAATCTCGATTATGATTTTTTGATGTTAAAATTATTTTAAATAACGAGAAATAATTTTAGAATTTCTAGATTCCTTCAAACTTGCCGAGGTTAGAAGAGAAAAACACTTATTTCTGTTTTTTTTCTAGAAATGAAAAAATTTCTTCTATATGCAAGGCGTTCTGAAATCAGAGGAGTGGATATTGATAATCCATATTTTAACTTTATCACGGCCTTTACAGTCCCTGATATTGATGATGTTACTGTGATAGACTTTGATGCATCTGAAGAACGTTTATACTGGACAGATATTAAAACACAAACCATTAAACGGGCTTTTATTAATGGAACTGGGTTGGAAACTGTTATTTCAAGAGGTAAGAGTTTTGCACATTACAACTTAAAAAATTGTCATTCAATTTATAATAATCACAAGTCTCTTTTGTATGTTTTTTTTATTATCCAATTCTGTGTTGTTAATTGAAAGTTGGAATTGATTATTCAGAGATTTAATAATATGCTATGTCTTTACAATTGTAGAATGCTATAATTATGTTGCACATAATAGTCTGATAACTAGAAATTTTGTTTCAAAAGAAGAAAAAAATTCAAAAGGTATCTCCTTAAAATTTATGGATTTCTAAACAAACACTTGAAGACTTATTTTTTGCTGATGGGGGAATGGTAATTTGTGCATACACAAAATATAGAATATTGGGAAGAACTTCTTTCCCTCTTTAGGCTCAAGCTCATTATCAACTTCCTTTGCATAAATTTTTACAGAACTAGACTACACAAATAAGACAAGGAATTTATTTCTATCCACATCCTAACCTAGCAGGTTAAATCATAACTTATTGGTAAATGTTGTTAAATTAACCATTAAAAAAAAAAGTAACTTTCCCCAAAGTAGAAAATATATTTGAAGTGAAGTTAGACATACTTACAGATACCATGACTCTAAATATTTAACATTGAATTATCCTAGTCTTTGTTTGAATCTTGGTGTATTGTGATTTCTGGATCAGTTGTTGTTGTTGTTATTATTGTTATTATTAGTTGTAGTAATAGTTTAGTTTATCTTCATTGAGTATCTTAGTATATATATTGCATATATATAATATGTTAGTTTTATATATATATTTATATATATAGTGTATATATGTGTATAGTATGTATATAGTATAGTATTAGTATATTAGTATATCTTCATAGTATATCTTCATTGAGTATCTGCTCTTTTCCATGACTGCAAAACCAAACAAGACAGTTTCTGTTCAATTTCATTTTCCAATAAGCATGAGAGAGTGATTTGGAAGAAGATAGAAGAAAGGGTGATCAGTAATCCATATAGATATTTCAAACTCTCATGCTTTGAAACATACTAAAAATTTAAAATCAGAACTTATATGAGGAATGATCAATCTCTTAATTAAAGCAATAAGAAGTGCAGGTTTTAAATTCACAGGTTTTCAAGAGTTTCCACATATCATATTTAAAAAGCTGGCTTGAGTATCCCTAGTAGATCTGAGAGTCTTTAACCACTGAAGTGTTCTTTTATTTATGCTAGATCTTTACTCATCTAAGTTTAGTGCTATTAAAGCAACTTGAGTGAATTGGTTATAAACTTGTTTAAATACTTATTTCAAACTTCCCATAAGAGAAGAACCTTTATAAGAAGGCTAATGCAAAGATTTTTTTTCATAGAGGATTCTTAACAGAGGAGAGGGAAATAATGGTTGGATTATTATCCAATTGTTAGACTAGGTAATGATCATTAAATACCTTGAAAGATCAGTTAAAGGACGTTACGTGCCTTCTAAGACTGACAGTCAGGTGATCTCATAAGAAATTCATCAAAGTCTAACAGAAAATTGTTTATGTACTTTATCATGAATGTGAAATCCTTACCAAAAGGCTTTGTGAATTGTATGAAGGGAAAGATGTTATATCTCAGAAAAATGTGAGGACAATTTTCTATCAATATAGATTGGTAGCTAGTAGTGATTTGATGAATTTGTCTTCAAGAAAGTCACAGACTTCTTTTCATTTAGTGGACTTTATTTATAATTATTACCAAAAATTGAGCAATGATATTTTCTTACCAATAATTAATAAAATATATTCATTAGGATCAATAATCATTAATTCAATCATTTTGAAAATATTGAAGTATCTTATATATAAGAAATTGATGGAGAATCAATATTGTCTGAATAGTATGGAACACAGAACAAGAAGGACATATTATACAAGCTGATAGAGCTAAAGAAATAAGTAGGAACTGAATCTAGACTTTATAAGTTGTTGATTTTTATATTAGTGCTGAAAATAATGAGAACCAAAGAAGTATTTCAAGGAGGCAGCAGTTGTATGGTTAGGCAAATACATACATAGCTGTATGTATTTGCTTTTGGAAAATATGGGTTCTAGCTTTTAGGTTTAGTAGAGAATTGAAGAGTTGTGAGAAGGAGGCAGGTGACTCTGGAAGACTGGATCACTGCCTGGTATTGCAGTTTTAGTTAAGATGTGATAGAAACATGGACTAGAAGGGAAACAACGAAATGAGGGAGAATTATAGAAATATAAAAGAGTGAAAATATAAAGGAACTTAATTAATTGGATATGAAGGTCGAGGAATAGGTATTGTCAAAGATAAGTCCTTCATTTCTGGCTCCCCTATAAGTTGAATGATGTTGCATTTTCCTTTCTTCCAGTGTGAAATCTTGTGAAGGGCTGATTTATCTTTCCATTAATAGAAAGCTTGAGATGAACTTTTGACAGTTCAGCTTGTGAGCTCATCAAAGTATCTCAAATCCTGCCAGTAATTGTACTGTATTTTATCCTTTCATCTTTTGGATTCCCTGCGAATGTCTGACCTTTCTCTTATTTCTTACATGCTGGTCTCTGTATCTTCTCACTTCACTGTCCTTCCTCTACTGGACGTTTTCTTGAGATTCTTTCTTTTCTTATCTTCCTTAGCCGAGGTCTAATGGGAAATCCGCTTTAAAAATCAGACTTTACATTTGCCATTGCTCCAATCAGACCGTTTCCTGAGAAAACACTGAACCTCCATGAAGAAGTCTAGAAATAGTTTGCCTGCCATGCCATTCTCCATATCCTAAAATACTAAACTGTTCTTAATTTATGTACTACCTACACAAGTTATTGGTTACAGTTACATACAAAGCACACTTCATTATAAACATAAATGCTAACAAATGACTATAGATGTGTTCTTTGTATAAACTAACAAATATTTATTATCACATGTATATTTGTCTCTTTCACACACAAAAAAGGTAATTTTATTCTAAGAAAAATTACTGCACAATTCATAGCAAAGGTTTTTGCTACTGGTCTGCAGCCTGACTCTCTGGTGGTAATTAATTCTTACCCTTGAGTCACTGCTTCATCCAGATATTTTTCAATTATTGGTGCTCTCAGGTTTATTTTTTTGATGTGATGAATAATACTAGCTGTCCTTAAAGTGACAAGCACCATAATCTCATGTAATCTTTACAAACCTATTATTAAGAAATACTTTCATTCTGCTGATGAGAAAGCTTAAGCTTGTGAAAGCTGAAACTCCTGTCTCTGAAACAAAGGGAGTAAATAGTGGAGCCACAGTCACACTCTGGACTGTATGTTTAAAGCTCCTGTCACTCTCATTACTCTGCAATGAGAGAATTTGGGACTTCATCCCCAGTGACTGGGTGTTACCCTTTTATGCTCAGTTGCCTCTCCTGAGTACTTATTTATATAATGCCCACCATTATACCTTACTAGATAAAAAACTATCCCCCACAAACTTTAAATTAACATAGCAAGAAATTAACTTGCAATTAACATAGTAAGAAGAAAAGAAGACATTAACAGGCCTTAAAGTTCTAACTGGGAGTTATGTAGTTGGGTTTCCACATTTGTATCTATTCTTCTTTTATTTTATTTTTTTTAATTTTCATTTTATTATTTTTATTATTTGCCCCAGGGGTAGTTTTGTGAATCATCAGGCTTACACACTTCACAACACACTTCATAACACTAACTAGGGTATATCACATATCCTCCCAATGTCCATAACTCAACTACCCTCTCCCTACCACACTACCCCCAACAACCCTCCATTTGTTTTGTGAGATTAAGAGTCTCATATGGTTTGTCTCCCTCCTGATACCACCTTGTTCCTTTTTTTCCTTCTCTACACCCCAAACCCCCCACTCTGCCTCTCAAATTCCTCATATCAGGGAGATCATATGATAATTGTCTTTCTCTAATTGACTTATTTCAAGAGCATAATACCCTCTAGTTCCATCCACATCATTGTGAATGGCAAGATTTCATTTCTTTTGATGGTTGCATAGTATTCCATTGTATATATATACCACATCTTCTTTATCCATTCATTTGTTGATGGACATCTAGGTTCTTTCCATAGTCTGGCTATTGTGGACATTGCTGCTATAAACATTTGGGGGCACGTGCCCCTTTGGATCACTACATTTGCATCTTTATTTTTTTTAAGATTTTTTAATTATTTATTTGACAGAGAGAGAGATCACAAGCAGACAGAGAGACAGGCAGAGAGAGAGCAGGAAGCAGGCTCCCTGCTGAGCACAGAGCCTGTCACGGGGCTTGATACCAGGACCTGAGATCATGACCTGAGCCAAAGGCAGAGGCTTTAACCCACGGAGCCACCCCGGTGCCCCAACATTTGCATCTTTAGGGTAAATACCCAGTAGTGCGATTGCTGGGACATATGGTAGCTCTATTTTCAACTTATTGAGGAACCTCCATACTGTTTTCCAGAGTGGCTGCACCAGTTTGCATTCCCACCAACAGTGTAGGAGGGTTCCCCTTTCTCCTCATCCTTGCCAGCATCTGTCATTTCCTGACTTGTTAATTTTAGCTATTCTGGCTGGTGTGAGGTGGTATCTGTCCGTGGTTTTAATTTGTATTTCCCTGATGCCAAGTGACGTGGAGCACTTTTTCATGTGTCTGTTGACCATCTGGATGTCTTCTTTGCAGAAATATCTGTTCATGTCCTCTTCCCATTTCTTGATTGGATTATTTGTTCTTTGGGTGTTGAAGTTGATAAGTTTTTTATAGATTTTGGATACTAGCCCTTTATCTGATATGTATTTGCAAATATCTTCTCCCATTCTGTCAGTTATCTTTTGGTTTTGTTGACTGTTTCCTTTGCTTTGCAAAAGCTTTTGATCTTGATGAAGTCCCAGTAGTTCATTTGTGCCTTTGCTTCCCTTGCCTTTGGCGATGTTTCTAGGAAGAAGTTGCTGTGGCTGTGGTCGAAGGGGTTGCTGCCTATGTTCTCCTCAAGGATTTTGATGGCTTCCTTTCTCACATTGAGGTCCTTCAT